ATGAGTTTGTGCAGTGTTCTTATGAAACGACCATTTGTTTATAACAAAACAAAGGGTGAATGTGGCATCCTTGACGGCAACATGGGTCGTTTTTTGTAAGCTTTTGTGCACTAAACTTAAAATTTAAGCTGGGTTGCGAATAGGAATCTCCCTCCTTGCCAAAGATGCTTACAGCTCATTAATCTGCCTACACTCCATGGCCGCAAAAAGATGTTTGGGGTTTTTTTTAGCTAAATTTATAAGAGGTGTAATCTATAGCCCATTCCTACTTAGCAAGCTTAGCCTTTGCCCTTTAAGCTCATCTAGACACTTTAGGTCACTTTCCTTGTGTTCATGCAGCACCAGCTTTGAAATGCACGACTTTTTTGATACTCATTCCGCCAGCCTTCTTTTCTCTGACTCCTCGTTTTTCTGTATCAAAACCTGATAAGCAAATCTGTAGCTACTTAGTGTAAGAACCAAGTTTAACTGCGATCGGTTATCCATTGCCTTTGGTTATCCGTCACCGGTCTATTGGATTTTTCATTTATCCTTCAGGCGCGATCCTCGGTCGATTGGGCGGTAGTGGATAACGCTGGGTTTGTCATCGACTAAAAAAAACCGATGACATCATCTTCAGCCCTCAGTCGAACTACTACTGCAACCAGCGACGGCGAGTCTGAAAATTCAATCAAAGACGTTGAGTTGAACTATCATCACCAGTCTAATGTCAAGTCCGAATAGCAATTGTCTGAGTGAACTACAAAGCTGCGCGAGCCGTTGATCTATCGACGAAGAACTGTTATATTTAGTATGTGCATCAGCTTCTTTGCGAAATATGGTCGGATGAATGCGTGACTGATGATTGGAACCGAACCGTAATAGTGGAGGCCCCACATTGACCAGCGTCAATTTACCACTGACCAGAGCGAGACTATGAACCAAATATTATAAAGGATCCTTGTCTTAAAAGAAGTCCTCGATAGTACGAGAAGGAGCTGTCTCTATGCCGTTACATCTACATTGAGTATCCCTGTGTATACTGACGTTAAGCAACACCAAAAGATTTGTCTGGATCGGGAAGGACTTCCCCGAGCTTTTCAATACCAAACTTTTATTATTATTAAATTAATACGAGCTGGAAAGCTGAAGTAGAGAAGGCACAATCTTCTATAGAGTGTACAGCTGCTGGCGTACGCTGATGGTACTGACATTATTGACCTCAACAATAGCGTACTGAGTGCTACTTTCTTCAAACTGCATAAGCTATGCGTGTGGGTCTGGTGGAGAAAAAGGACAAGTCAAACAAACAGTTATCGCACTCGCGATTCGGCTCCCACGTCACTGTTGACAGTTTGAAGTCGTAGATAATTTCGTCTCACTTTTAACCAGTATTACCCCCACACCAATTTCAACCTGGAAATTCTACGCAAAATCACTCTTTCCAACAGGTGCTACTTTGGACTGAGTAGGCAATTGAGATGTAAAGTCTTCTCTCGAAGAACGCAAACCAAACTCTACAAGTCCCTCATCATTTCCGTCCTACTGTATGGTGCAGAAGCCTGGACGATGACAAGATCTGATGAGTCGGCGTTAGATTTTTTTGAAAGAAAAATTTATGGTCCCCTAAGAGTTTGGAACGGCAGCCGATGAGCCGCACGAGATATATGGCGACTTTGACATAGTTTAGCGAATCAAGAAGCAGCGGCTGCGCTGGATAGGTCATGTGGTCGGAATGGTTGAAAGTACTCCAGCTTTCAAAGTTTTCGATGCAGTACCCGCCGGTGGAAGCAGAGGAAGAGGAAGACTTCCACTCCATTGAAATGACCTTGGTATCCCCAAATGGCGCCAGACATAATCGGCTATAATCGCATAAGCGGTGTCTACGCCAGCAAAGAAGAAGAGGACCGTAGATATTGGTGGCAGTGAATATCGTAGACATCGAAATAGTTCAGCGAACCAAGAGGCAGTAGCTAAGCAGTCTGGGCCAATTTGTCCGGCTGAAAGAAAAAGCAAAAGCTCTGAAAGTATTGTATGTAGTACGCAGAGAAAAAGGTGGCGCTTCTATCTGTTTTAAAGTTCAGGTTCTAAGGAACTAGCTTCACTTGATGTGTCCAGTTGGCTCGGCTATATTCGTGTAAGTGGAGTTAACGGAAGTTTTCACCTAAAATTGAGTTCTTCGGACAAAAAAATTACTTTTCCACTCTCCACTATCGGTTTCAGATCACAGTTTTGAAATGCTTTTTCAATATATATTACGCGTATTTAAATTATTTACACACATACGTACATATATCTTCTCCACCCAGACCGTCATAAAGTCTGAAAATTTCCTCGCTGCATTGACTGTCTCGGGAGAGTATTAAAGATTTGTTGACTTTCTTGTCAGACATTTCTTTTTTATAAAATATATTTCTTTCTAATATAATAATATAACAAGTTTCCTTCCTTTTGACAAGCATAATTCCTATAAATACACATATACACGTACATACATACTACATAGCAAACCACAGCGTGGGCCAACATCCATATTTTTATACTCAGCATTTTAGATTGAAGCAGCTGAAAATGTTCGCCACAATGGATTTTTAGCAAAAAACACTGAGTTGTTGTTAAATTTGCATATTTATCATTAAAATTATTTTAAAAAAAATTATAAAATATATAATTTTTCTCGCTGATCAACATTTGTCTTTGGGACTTTTTATAGTGGTTTTGTTGAATTTAAAAAAAAATAAACAAAAATAAATTAAAAAATAATTAAAAAAACGTTGTTGTGCGGACAATGTACAGGGGTTTCCAAATCTTTTACTTGATATTCAGAGAAAAATCGCATTTTTTAAGATAAACGATGATGATGGTATACCCTTAATGATAGAAAACAATATCAGCCAAGTGGCCGCCACGGCTAAGCTTACAGGGTCCTATCCTTTTTATGAAACTTTCCACCTCTAAATAGCAAAGTGGCTGCTGTATGCTCCCAATAGCTTCCCAAATGTCATCTTTGAGGTCTTGAAGCGACATTGGCCCGTTGGCGTAGATTTTCTCTGTCACGTAACTCCGAAGGAAGAAGTCGCAAGGCGTTAAATCACAAGAACTCGCTGACAAATTACGATCACTTTATCGAGAGATAACCTGGTCCGTAAACTTTTCCCTTAAAAAGTCGATGGATTCGCTGCTTGTGTGGTACGTAGTGCCGCCTTGTCATCAAATTTCTGTCATACAAAATCATTAGTCGTCTCTCGGAAGCGCAATCTATGCACCCTAACTGTTGGTTCAGCCTCATTTTCGAAAAGTTAAGGTCCCCGACAGACCATAAACCTTACCAAACAGTTTTACATATTGAGGATGGAGAGGCTTTTCAACAATAAGTCTTGGGTTTTCCGAGCTCAAATAAGACAGTTTTGTTTATTGACGTATCCATCGAAGTGCAAAGAGGCCTCATCAGTGAAGATGATTTTTCGATGATCGGTCGGCTTGAGTTCTTGTACTAACTGAACTTTAAAAGATACGCTGTAATGACATTTATGAAATGCCCAATTCCAAAGGAGGTCGAGAAATTGAAAAGCCTGTGGTTTCCTCAACACTTTAGTCTACAGCAGCAACATTCTCAGTTTTTTTGAGCGACGTGCACGTGGTTTATTCTTCATATCACTAACTTGCTCCGACAGCTGAATTTTTCACACCAATTTCTGTATTGCGGTGCTTTACGACGACCAGAAAATATTTTAATTTTACGAACCTCCTCTGCCTGGTTCTCACCATTTTTATAGTGCATTTTAAGAATTTCATGGTTCCGTAGTTCCGATCTTATAGGAAACCCCTCATATTTCTACTTATATTTTTAAAATATATATACATTGGATGTAGTATAAAGAAATCCATTATTTTTCCCAAAGATCGCGTTATTTAACTGTATCTCGCGTTGTAGTTCCACTAGATGCTATTGGAAAGATGACACTTCGTATTAAAAAAAAAATTTCTAACAATTTCCTAATTGGTTGATTCGGGTTTGTTTGAGCGTGCGTCAAAGGTACGCTATATTTTAGAGTTTTTTTACGATAAGGGCGAAAACGTAACCGAGGTGGCGAATTGTCGAGAAAGTCGATAAAAAATGATTGACATTGTCGAGTCCGAACGTCATGCGAGCACTGTTTCGATTATCCAAGAGCTAAAGGTTGCACAAAATTCCGTTTGGAACCATATGAATAAGGCTGGATGCGAAAAGAAAAAAATTAAACTTTAAAATTTTATGCAAAAATAATGGATTTCTTTTTTTACTTCTCCTGATATGTAGCATATACGTGTAGATATGTATGATATGACTGCTGATTTATAAACCGAGAAGAAAGTGAAAATTCGCAGTTGCATTTTCCGCCAAAACAAAAAATCGTATTTTTATTTTTTACTTTTTGTTTATACTCATAAACAAACATACATACGCACATACATATGTGAAAATGGATTTTGCAAATTAAATAAATTTCCTAAATTAAATATGAAATAAAATTGTATGTTTTAAATGCAGCGCTGACATATTTTAAGTAACTTGTTGAAATATTTATGGTAAGCTTTGACGTATTTTTTGGTTTTTTTTTTTAATTTTTGTGTGATAAAATAAAATATTTTAAAAGCAGCCATTTTTTTTCAGTGGTGCAAATGTAACGGAGAATTTCGTTAAATAATTAAATCATTATTTATTAACTTCTTTTAGTAATTTTGGATATTTTTGTTCATACGAGTATATATATATATTTCATTGTAATTTATTTACGATTAATATTTCCCCTACATATGAATTACACTCTACATAGAACAGTAAAACAGTTCCATTGGTTCAGCCTAAAAGTATGCAACAGTTCTTTTTTTTTTAAACAGCTCGTACTCATAATTATTCACGGAACTACTTTATCGACGTTGATCTTTAAATTAAACTACTTGAAATAAACAGTGAAATTTTCATATATACAAAAACAAAAACCTGAATATTTTATTAGTTTAATTATCACCTTGTTTTTATTTAATTTTCAGTATTTTCATTTATAAGCACTATTTGATATTCTTATATACCCACGGCAGCAGTGATGTTATTCTCGTATAGACGCCAGGATATTCGCCTTTACCGCAGCCGATACCCCATGAGACAATGCCAACCTGAGTATAGCGTCCACCCTCGTTGACAATCAGCGGCCCACCGGAATCGCCCTGAAATTGTGGGGAATGAATGTAGTGTAAAAATAAGAAATTTGTATATATTTTTGGTCGCATAAATTATACTTATAAAAAGTATAAACCAAGTAATCTCGCTGGCTGGACGGAGCTTAAAGACATGAGAGTACCTATAGACCCTGTACAGAATTTTCAAGTGCTCCAGAGAGATAAGCTCTCATAAATCAGCGCAATGTAAGTGAGATAGTGCGCAGAGAGAAATATGAAGTCATGTCATTTAGATGGAAAACTTATAACAGGCAAAGATTATGTCGCCGACTTGGACTTCTGGGGGGAAAGGGATGATGAGATTTATAAAGTTTCGTGCAAAAATCATATCCACCGCAAGAACTTTTTAGTCCTGCTCCTTGAAATGAAGTGAATTTTAAAAAAGAATTACGAAAAAGCTCAGAAGCTCCCAAAAGCACAAGCTCCTAATATTATTCGACCAAGGTATCGAAATAAGGAGCTGTCTCCTAATGTCTTCATGACGAGCCGCCTGACATTTTGAAAGTTGGGTTTCGAGTGAATCATGAGCAACTCGATCAGCTCTCCTAGCTGTTAGACTACAAAACCGACAGTACAAGCTTGAGCACCACAAGCGCCTCTATGAAATTAAGTGACTCCCATAAGTTCGAAATATCACACGATTCTCAAGCAACCGCACAGCTTCCTGAAAAAATATTTGTATCTTTCACTTACACTGCATGAATCCTTCGACGCTTGACCGGCGCACACCATCGATTCTATAATACCGCCGGGCGCCGCACGACCATACTTCCGCGCACAATCGTGATTCGCCCAAATGGGGATCTGCACTTTTTGTAAAATCGACGGTTGCGGACCATTCTCGCGTAGACTGCCCCAACCGGCGACGGTGGCCACTTTACCGCTATAACTACGGCTCTGCTGGCTACTTGAGGTGGGCAAGCAAATCGGTTGCACTTCGTAGGTGAATTTCATTGGTTCATTTACAGTTAAAATCGCAATGTCATTGTGCTGAAAAGAAAGCAATATTAGAAATAAGCAGCGCTCACAACAGCTGTTCCTTCTCTACACACCAAAGTACTAAAATCGAAGCCCTTATGTCGCACCAAACGTTTAATACGTCGTACAACATGTTGTACCTCGTAATTGGTGCGTATGTCGTAGTCGCCGAGATGTGCTGTCATTGCGGCCACATCCCATGAGGTCATTCTTAAAAGAAGAAACATTAAATTAGTTTTTACAGACAAAACCGCGTCTCTTCTCCACACTATAACTCACCTGGCCACACAATGCGCCGCTGTCAATATGTGATTTTTCGTGATCACACTGCCGCCACAGAATTGTTTGCCGGACTTGAAGAGCACCGCAATCCAGGGAAATTCCTTCGGACTCGCATTTGTGCCACCCACAATACGTTCCTGATCTGGCATTGCTGGATTCTTAATGCCACACTGCGTAGGCAAGCCATGATTTGTGGAACCACTTGAGATGGGCGTTGAGGGGCGACGTGTTGTTGTCGTTGGCGCAGCAGTTGGACGATATGTGGGGTAACTGGGATAACTAGGGTAACCAGGATATGCCGGGTAGCTGGGATAGCTTGGACGGCGTGTGGTAGTTGTTGTCGCAGCCACTGAAACCGGACGTTTTGTGGTAGTCCGCCTGGTGGTAGTGAGTGTAGGTCTTGTGGTTACTGCAGCGTGTGTTGGATAATTATGATTTGGCGGATGTGTGGGTAGTGGTGGGGGCCAAACAGCGGTCGATGGTGGATGTGTTGGCAGTGGTGGTGGCCACTGATGTACGCTGGAGAATTGGTTACCCAGGTGGCTAGGCCATTGGTAAGCGAATTCGTTGTAAGTAGTCGCCGGTTTGCTTGTTGCGGCTGGTGTTTCTTCATACGCATCCTCTTTGATAGGATCATAAGCAACACTGTTGTCTGTTTGCGGTTTAGGCTCGACAGCTGGTGTCGACTCGTGTAAAGGATCAACTAGCGGATCAATTTCTGTTGGATGATCCAACTCGATAATGTCCTCCTCATCTTTATCCTCTTCAAACCCCTCCTCATCTTCGTATGGTGGCTGTGCGGGTGCTGGTGGTTCTACCGGTGGTATGGGTATTGGACTCACGCCACCGGGATAGATGAAGGGTGGGAACACCCCGGGTGCGCCAAAGCCGTTACCCATTACAGTGCCCGTACAGCAAATGCCAGTGTTTGGACGTCCGTAGGGATCATAAAAACTGCATACATTCTGCCCTGCGGCTGGTACTTGCGGCCATTGACGCAAGTTGTAAAAATTAAATTGTCTCTTTAGACGGTATAACTGCTGACACGCTGTGAAGCGTACACAGATGCCGGGGTAACCGCGTGCAGTAATACATTTACCGCCCTCGGCGCCGTAGTTTGTGAGTAGTAGTAGTGAGGGATCATAAAATAGCTGACGTCTTCGGCGTATTTGATCCTCCGATGTAGGCTCCTCAGGAGCTGAAAGAATAACATTAAGAATGTCGTTTAGTGAAATGTCAAAAATTTGCTTTAAAAATTGTCAAATATAATTCTATAACGGGGAACCAAGACCAGGCTCTTCAAGGCGTGCATCGGTCCTGTACGGCTATATCGTGCGGGGTCTTGGATGATGACAACATCTAACGCTGGATATGTCACGTGCTCCGGATGAATAAGAATACTCCTCCAGCTTTAAAAGTTTTCGATACAGTAGCCGCATATGGGAACAGAGGAAGAGGAAGACCTCCATTCCTTGGAAAGACCAGGCAGAAAAGGATTTGGCTCTACTTGGTATTTCTAATTGGCGCCAAACAGCGAAAAGAAGAAATAAATGGCGAAATGTTGTTAACTCGGCTATTATCGCAGTAAAGAAGAAGAAGAAGAATTCTATGACGAAACTCTTGTCGACTTCATTAACTCAACTGACCCAATTTGCAACACTTAATATGCGCCAAAATCAGAATCGGACACTTAAAAACTCAACTCCAGCAACTTGAGCGCCATCAATTAAGCATTTCAACTTTTATGGCCACAAAATGAGTAATAAAGATGTAGATAAGAGTGTGTAAGCCGAAGAGATCTAATCTATGCATTTCAAGTAGTCACTTGAGCGTTTTGCCGTTGGCTCATTAAAATGTCATTAAGAGGCTTGCGTGGGCTTCCTCGCATCGGCATATGGATGGAAAGTAAGAAATCAATTAAGAATGTAAATTTCTTCGAATCTCGTGCTGAAGAAATTTGTAGAATTTGGCGCGTGCAAAGGCTTGAGTAGCGCGCGAGAGGAAATCAATAATTGAATTGTTGCTTTGGGGTCTTCCTCTTTAGTTAGTAGCGAGCTTAATATTAGGAACTAAAAGTTTATTTTATTCTGCGAAGTAAGTTAAAAGGAGCTATGCAGAGGTGTCTTCTCAAACCCAAATTTTAAGTAGGGATCTGCGTAACAATCAATTCGGACTGTGAAAATGTTTTAAGCGGACTTGCTCAGCAAAGGAGCAGCATACAGTGCTAATCGCTGTGATAGAGGTCATCTAACGAGTAGCCCAAGAAACGTGCTGATTTGAGAATTTCTAACCAGAGGGAGAGGGATGTTAGATGCGCAAGCTTTAGTGGGCTGTATGAAGAGATGGTTAGTATCTTGCGGAAACGCATTAACTGTGAGGATAAGTAGGAGTTGAGGCTGCTAAAATATCCAGATATTAACTATGCTTGCATTACTCGGATCTTCGAGTTAGTTCGAGCTCTTCATCTGCTATAAGTGCTAGTTAGGTTCCGATTACGCCATTCAAGGGAAGAGCTTAATCAAGGTGTTGACTGTCTCTATGAATGACGTTGGGAGCCTGCCGTTAGCGCGATCTGCACAGCTGTTCTCTGATATGGTACTGAGTAGAGCCCGCAAGATCAAGAACTACCCTACTGATGTGTTTTTCAGGGTGGTTCAGAGTCCAGTAGATGTTTGGTTTAGTACCTGTTACCCAAATTCGTGGTACGTAGCTTACGACCGTCCGTACAATTGTCTTGTAAGTTGCGTGCAATCTTTCTTTCCCTTTCCTCCAATTACTGCCGGCTAAAGAGTTGATGATGTTTTTGGAACTCTAACCTTTGGTGAAAGTCGCAATCTTATGCACAGTCAAGGTGTGTACGTTAGATGTAACTTCTAAAAACTATGAGTTATTTATTGTTGTTAATTCGAAGTCATCGACTTTCACATACAGTTTGAGCCACTTCTCCTTACTTCCAGCTAGTAGAGAGGATCGCCGTGAAGAAGTGGAAAAGGTCGCAAAAATTGGATTTTTTGTTTGAACAAAAATAAACACTCTCTGGTATTGGAGAAAGCTTCAAAATATCGAAATTATATCACATAATAATTGGAAAGGACGTCATGCTGCGGAAAGCCTGACTTTATCTTCCTGAACTGGAAGTTGTGATCTCAAAACGCAACCATTGACTGTGGACCATAGATAATATGTAGTCCACCTCTTCAACCCTGCTATTTGGACTTTATGTTTGTCTGTGTGAAAAGATTTTGACGGACCGAGAGCAATCAGAACAAGTTTATTCTTTATTGGCTGGCTTCCCCGGTTTCAGTAGCGATAGCATGGCGTCTGTTTCCACATTTGAAGCATTGTTAGCGTGACCAGAGACAATTTCGGGGCCTTGGCGAGAAACTCTGCCCATACTAGATCCAGATATTTTAGTATCAGCTGATAGATTTGGATGATGTTGCTTATCTAATAACCACCTGAAGCTCTTCTTTGAGGAAATCAAGTGCCGCACTGGTGTTTGGCAGTTTCAACAGATAGTGGGTCACTTGCCGCCCACATATCAAGCGAAGGAATGACTTGATGACGATCCAACACTAGGGGGGCGTGTTCCGCTTATGGAGATTAAACAGTTGCCGAATCTCCAAATTGAGTTTTCCAAGTTTGGACTTGCCCTAAGACTTGGTGTTATACCAGTCTAGGAAAGTCAAATCAATGAACCTCTCAGCCACTGCGGCACTGGTTAAGGTAGATAATCGCCTTATTCCAAGGCGCATCTGGCGAAAATTTGACAAAAAGAGGTTATGACGTGGGGGCATGTCCAAAGCCATAGGAGTTTTGACAGGTCTCTGTCGTATGGGATGACATGCCCAAATACTAGGAGCAATGAGGATGAGGAGAAGGAAACTATCGTCTATCTCTTATGATTGTCCTGGGTTTAGGAATTTTGGGACCTAATTGCTGGATGGCCGTCCTCAAAGTAGATCCATAACATGAGGTTCATCAGAGAATCAAAATGGCTGATGGTTTCATATTTACAGGAAATTCGAAGATTCTCTGAGATTTCTATGTGCCTGCAGCATTATGTTGTTGTCATCTGTTCCTACTCTGCCTCATTGTTATTGTCGTAAATTTGGCACTTTTGATTATTTTTCTTACAAATTTATATTACAATTGTAAAATACTCTCCGTCAGCTGTTTACTACGTAAAGTTTAATGACCTCAGCTATGCATAAATATTACACGGAGCGTTTTGAAACTTAAACTGTACATTTCAAAAAGTCACACAAGCCGAGATGAAGCAAAAATTCAAACTTCTCCTGCCCCCGAAACGAAAAAAAAAATCCGACAATAATTGCCTTTGTTTGGCTAGATTACTCAGTATTGACAGTATACTTAAATGGCCTATCGACCGGTGCTATGCTGAATGCCAAATTTCCTACTCGCGCACAGTGAAATGAGTCGAAATTGAGTTGTCAAGTTTCTTCACCTCATTGTGTATTCTTTTTATTATTTTGGAGAAGTTGATGTATGTATGCGTTGTGTGATGTATGCGCACGCGTCACTTCTACTCGTTTCTATTGTTTTATTTTACTTTTATGATTTTTTTAGAATTCTACCCAATTTTCTACAAGCAAATCAAACAAAAATACATTTCTTATTGACATTTGTATTCAGTTAGTTGAAAAAGCCATTTGTGTATATTTGTCAAATAATTTGACAGCTACATAATTTAAGAGCACTTTTTTTGGTGGACTTTTTGCACATTTTTACGTCTGAAATATTAGATTACGTTATGAAGCTTAAAATATGTTGATTAGGAGTTTGACGATTCATTTAAGAGGTGTGTCGCCGCTGGGTTTGCTTATAAGGTACTTTTTCTGTCTTATTACATTACCATTATATATTGTTTCATTGTGATTGATCACATTTTTTTATTTTATTTTATTTTAATTATTACAATATAAGTTTAATTCATTTAGTTTGATTTTTTTCATTTCGTTGTATTTTAATTGAATTTTTTTTTAATTAATTTTACTTTAATTAATTTTTTATTATTTTATTTTAATATTTAATTTAATTTTTTTATTTTATTTTATTTTGTCTATATTTTAAATTTTGTCTTATTTCAAAATATTTAATTTAGTTTCCATTAATTCATAACTTTTCTTTCACTTTATTTTATTTCATTTTTTTCAATTTTTTTTAGTATATTTTATTTCACTTCATTTTATTCAACTTTTATATATTTTCTTTTCTTTTATTTTCTTTTATTTTATTTTAATTTTTTTTCTATGATTTTATTTAATTTTAATTTTGTTTCAATTTAGTTTACTCAAATTTATTTTATTCGTTTTATTTTATTCTATTACGGTTTATTTATTTTACTTTATTTTGTATTATTAAATTTCTAATTGTTTTGTCGCATTTAATTCCATTTAATTTAATTTTCTTTTATTTTATTTGAATGTATTTTATTTTATGTTATTTTGTTTTATTCTATTTGAGTTTATTTATTTTATTTTATTTTAATTAATTTAATTCTAGTTTTTTTGTTTTATTTCATTTTACTTTTTCATTTTTTCTTATTTCAAAATTTTTAATTTAGTTTCTAGGAATCCATTACTTTTCTTTTATTTTTATTTTTTAACTTTATTTTATTTAATTTTTTAGTGTATTTTATTTCACTTCATTTTATTCTCCTCTTTTAAATTTAATTTTCTTTAATTTTATTTTAATTTATTTTGTTTGTTTTTTCATTTCATTTTATCTTAATTAAGTTTGCTTTATTTTACTATATATTATTTTATTTAGGTTTATTTATTTAACCCTATTTCATTTTATTTTATTTTATTTTATTTTATTTTATTTTATTTTATTTTATTTTATTTTATTTTATTTTATTTTATTTTATTTTATTTTATTTTGTCTTATTTCATTTTATTTTATTTTATATTATTTTATTGTATTTTATTTTATTTAATTTAAATTAATTTAATTTAAATTAATTTAATTTAATTTAATTATATTTTATTTTATATTATTTTATTTTATTCTATTTAAGTTTATTTATTTTATATTATTCAATTTTAATTTATTTGGTTTTATTGTATTTTATTTAATTTTTTGTTTTACTTTA